AGGACAAAGCGGGTGTACATAGAACTGGTACCCGCCGATACCCGACAAAACAAGTTTCCACCAGAATAAGAGAAAGCCCTTAAGCCCCCTTTCCCCTACTTTTTGCAGAATAGGGATTTGTGTATATTTGTGAGCAAAAGAGGATACTGTAATTTTCAGGATTCTCTTCATGTTGAGAAATCCCCATGTAGCACAAATGGAGGAGGTGCTGAAAGCCAAGGTGCGCAATGGCATCAGTGACTGGAGAACAGAGCTGTAAAAAGGCAATAGTTTTGCCTAATTTCCTACAAGACTTTGGGGTGTGCTGGGTCCACCATCAGCCCTCGGGCTCTGGCTGAGGCATCTCTCTCCATTCTCCTCTATTTCTCCTCCTCCTAATTTCTAAGGATTTGTCAGAGTCAGAGGAACCTCCAACTTCACTCGTGATTTCACTGAACCAGGTTCAATTCCTTTCGCCACGTGAAGGAAAAATACAAATCCAGATTTTCTTCAGGAAGGAATTGTAGTGAGGTTTCAGGGGCAGGGCATTTGGAACAGATTCAACTTAAAAATTCTTATTTCACCCTTCTTCAAAATATTTATCTTTAGTTATTACACAAATACTAAAGTAATTACATAGGAAGTAAATCAGACATAACGTTTTGATTTGAAGTATCACCTGGAAACAAATCTGTTCTTTCCAGATCTCAGGAAAAATCAAAGTTTTTTGTTCTATTGAGACATGAGCAAGAATATGGTGACAGAAAATCCAGCACCCAAAGATGAATGCTTGGTGAACGGAAGCAGCTACAGGATTAATAGTTTCTTACTTCTTTCTGTGCTAAAGAAGCTGGAGGATTTGGGACATAATACTTGGGATTCATTTGCATTTCCTATTTCCAAGAAGAAGTGCTGACAGCTACAGAATAATGTGACTTTTAATATCTCTGCCTCTGGTACAGTGCTTGCATTTGTAAAACTGCCATAAAAAGTTAGTTTTACTGGTGAATACGAACAATGTTTATAAATCCTTTTTTCTTTGGTGTCATGACGAGCATGACCTGGGCGTTGGGGTAAAGCAGAGCGTGGACACCTGAGCGATGGGATAACTCAGTGCCCTGGGTTTGATGGGAAAACTCAGTGCCCTGGGTTGGGTTTGATGGCTTTTGGTCTCCAGAAGTGCTTTGAACACAGAAGCGTGTGCTTGGCTCAGCTTCGGAGAGAGAAGCTGCTGTTGTTCGCACGACTCAGACACAGCTAATGTGTCTAAAAGTGATCATTTCAGTAATAACAGCAAATCTTTTTCTAATATTCTTGTAGTAATAGCATTCCCTTTTTTTTTTCTTCCTATTCAGCTAATTGCCCACTATCATTATCCCAGTCTCTAACTGTATTACACAATCTAAGTAAAATTATCTTAATAACACATAAAGGAAGTGCTGCGTTTCGATGCCCTTTCAGAACACACAACCCAAAATACAGCAGAAGACACAAACCCCATCGCAGCCCCCAGCTGCCAACAGCTCCCAGTCAAACTGCCTGAAATCCAACATGCAGGGTCTCTCAGTTCCACTTGGGAGTAGGGGGAACTAGATTCAGTGCCTGAACATTTTCCTATAGTATTTGAGTAACTTCCACAAACATATTTGCATGATTTTTACCTAAAACCATACACCTTTTTTTCCCTAAAAGGCTTGCTTCATGATGAAACACCTCTTCTCCTGCCCGCCGCTAATACTCCTCCCCTCACAATTCGTAGCAGAGATTAATGAATCTCTTTGAACTGGAAAGTGCTGAGTGCTAATTATTAGCCATGCATACATATACTTCTGCCGCTTTCGAGGGCAGAGCATCCACATACCCCGGTAACGGGAAAGTGCAGAAAAACATATATTGATACCTAGGAGTTTTAACCACCACAAAAATGTATAAAGGAAGAATAAATTAAAAGTTAGACGTTTCAATTCATTATTGCACATTCTAGGGAACCACTCTCCATCTGTTTAATAAGTTCAGGGCAGCTGAAAATGGAGTTTAGATTGGAAGCTGTTGCAACCTTATCTTCTTGCGCTCCCAGAAATACTAATAAGAATTATAAAAATCCGTTATTGCCCATTGTGAGGAGCACAGTCAAAGCGTGTGACTGCAAACCCAAAGTGTAAGCTGAAGGCTCTAGATTCATCCCAGTTCTGCCCCCCAGGCACCAGGGCTCTGCGTGGATCAACCCAAAGCTCCCGCACACAGCATCCCTCTCCTCAGCGTGCCCGAGGAAGTACTGCCCGAAGAAACCGTTAGCTGATGCTCCACTAGGGGTTTTCTTGTAGGTTTTTAATCTCATCCGTCTTTAAAATGATGTGATTTGAGTGTAAACGATCTTTTCAAATGTTTCCTTCATGAGGATTCTCGGTTCACGTTTATGGGTTGGTGCCATCTGCTTTCAGAGCTTCTCTCCTCCCAGAACCCAGCGACCGGCCTGGGAGGGCTCAGCACGTGTAAACCTCCTGTTCCCATTCACCAGCTCAATAATTAAAGTCACTGATTGAAAAAATAATTACAGGAGAATAGGGAGGGGAAAAGCCTAGACCCGTAATTGAAAGATCTCTGAAGTTTGTGTTTTGTTGAGAGGTAATAATTTTGTTGAGAGGAAAGAGGTTCTCTTTCTTTTTCCTTCTCGGACTCCCTCTAGATTCATTCCTGGCAGGACGTGTGATGGCACCAGGCCCTGAGCAGCAGGTTTGCTTTGGAGTTACCCAAGTCCTCATGGCCTTTTCTTCCTTCAACATACCCTTTCATCCAGCTCCCTCACTGATGCGTCTTGAAGTGTCCCCAAGAGCTGCGGTGTCTGACCTAAAGAATGTTTATCCATTAAACATCCCAAAGAATGTTTATCAACATGGTGAAAGGCACTTTATATATATAAATATAAACAAGTATAAAAGGGTGCTGTGATCCTGAATGCAGTTGTCCTATAGGATGAGGAGCAGTGTAAACACCATAACCGTTAAAAACTGCTCCTGTAGCATTTCTTGCACTAATTAAGAACTGGGGAGGGATCTTCTTTCTTGCTGCTGCCTCTACTTCAAACAAAAACATTTCAACAAATCAAAACCAGGGGAAACGGTTTAGCATTTTAAGCTAATGATAATTGTTTTAGAATCCCGTATTTGCTCAATGGTATAATTCATTCAAAAAATGACCTTAAAACTCTGCATTAAGCAAATATAAACCCCTTGTTATTTGGGAGTGGATGCTTTTAAGCTGCTGTCTCTCAAGTGACAGTCAGGCGTTCCTTGCCAGCTCTCTATCCCACCAGCTGCCAAGGCATTCCCAGCAAAGGGTTTGGATTTGACCCTTAGAAATATACATATAATAAATATATGTGCAAAAAAGTCCATCCATACTACTTACACACACACCACAGGCACAGATGAACCTGCCCAAGGACCCACAGGGGGGCTTTGTTAGTGCTGAACAACTTAGTGCAATTTTCTTTTAATTTTACTTTTAAAGGGGAGAGAAAAGTTTAAGGCGAAAAAAATTAAAAATATGCAGTTAATGTCTGCCATGATTTTAATGGAAAATAAAGATGAATTTGCCTATATACAGAGAGAACTTAGTGCTCTGTATTATTTAAGATACAAGTATCCACCAGCGTTCCTGGCCTGGAGCCTGCCTTTGGCTGCGTTACACAGGGAATAAACAGAGTTGGCACAAAATAACCTTATCAACCAGAGTCACAGAAATTACTTCATCAGGACTCACGACTAGTGTTCTTCTCTGGTGCATTTTAGAAATTCAGAATGCCAATATACTGCAGAAGATTAAAAACCAAGTATGGAAACCATGAAAAGGGAAGAGGTTTTCCCCGACCCAATATTCTAGGCACACCAAGAACAAATCTTTAAAGACTTTTCCTGGCATAACTGTTTGGAATGATCAGCTTTCCACAGCCCATCCTCCCTGCAAACCAATGTTACACAGTCTTTCTGCACTTCATACTGCTTTTGTAAACAAATGCCACCTTCACAACCTCTTCCTTTAGACCAGCTCACATTTACAACTAGAAATATGAGAAAATCCAAGTGATTTTCACCCCTGCGACCTGTTGCTGGTCTCCAGACGAAGTCCTTGTGCTCAGTAATTGCCATCAGTAAGGAATCTGCTTGCATTTGTGGGAACTAGTTCCAGTGGTTTTCTAATGGACTTTCCTTTGTATTACTGAAAAAGGCAGGGCCACCACAGGTGTGTGGCAAAAGCTTTATTTTAATTAATAAAGCCGTGTGGCAATGCTAACGGTTTTCCTCTCCAGTTCCCTTCCCATTCTGTGATTTTCTCCCTCCTCAGCACCTCCCCGGGCTGGACTCTGGTTCCTGTGCTGGCAGTGAGGTCTCTGCCCGAGGGCTGTGCCTGGTGAGGGGCTCAGAGTGACAATTTGGGGTGGCCACCTGGGACTACGGCTGCTGCCGCTTCCCTGGGACCTCATGCAGGGGGAAGCGGTGGAGCCAGCAGTGAGAACGGGCAGAAATGAGCCCAAAAACTTGTGGGAAGTTCCCAGGGGAGCAGAGGCAGCGGGGACAGCCCGCGGGATCCCCTCCCTCTCCTTTCCCAATCCTTTCTGCAAGCCAGAAGAAGCCCAAGCACCAAGACCCACAGAGCTTCTCCCTCTGACCTGGGGTGCACCCGTTTGGTGCCTCCGCTTTTCCCGAGGGTGAAGCAGGCAGTGATCACGTCCCCCACATCATCTCACTTTATGGTTTTCATATTGCTTAACCAGGGAAAAATAAGAAGTGGCACATGCTTCACTTGAAGCAAGCCAACAATTAAGAGGGGTTTCTGTGCAAATTGCAGCCATGGCATGACCTTTATTCCCCAGCTGTGATTTTTAATGATATTCTACCTTGGCTTTTCAATATGTTAAAACCAGTGACATATAATTAAAGACAAATTGATGGGGCAGAAATTGACTGGATGACTGCAATTAACTGTACCAAAGAAACACTAGAGAAATCAGTTATTTGATCTAAACAAGGACTTAAATCTACTAATCTGCCTTGAAAAAAATAAATGCTCTGTATGCTAAGTTTTAGGGGTTTGGTTTTTTACCTCTTGTAGATGTCTTACGCCAGACTCCCAGAGGAGAGGAGGAGACTATGAGTGAGGAGTGTCCTGCAGACTGCGTGCAGTTCGTTTCCTGGGTCAGGACCAGATTGATTGGAGAACAATAATTATGAGGCTGACATGTATGTTCTCCTTCATCTTGCTGTTTGGAGCAGCCGGGCTCGTTGTCTTCATCCACCTGCAGGATCCAGAGGAAATAGTTCACCAGCAGACACCAGGTCAGCGTTCCCATTTCTATTGACTCGCGCTTCGTTGTGCAGCATTTTATACTTTTACATGTTTTATACTTTAACATGTTTTACACATTTCACAGAGGTTGACTCAACAAAGGTAGGTAAGTTTGGGGTTTTTTTAATAAAGGCTGTTTTGAAGTTAATTAACAATTTCTTTTTTAAAAAAAAAAGAAGTGTTTGCTTAAAAAACAGTTCTGAGAACCAGTTGACTGATTATGCAGGAATCTTTGCCAAGGTGCAGAGGGTCCAGCTGGATGGAGTTAATTTTCTGCTAGAGCTGAGAGCAGTTGCCAGCTACACCACTACCAACACCAACACGAGAAATTTTGCCGGCAGTTGAGTTCCTGCAAATACACAGCCCTGAGCCCCCCTCTGCCCGGGTGTGGTGTTCAGTGTGCTGTGGAGATGCAAAATAAGAGATGTGTAAATGAGTCACGCAAGAAAGATGAAGTACTTTGGGATGCATTCCTTTAACGTGCTTAACTTCCATTAAGCTTTCCATAACTTTCATTCCTACGCACGCCGTCCTCCTGTGCTACACACTTTAACTGTGTAAAGCCACAGAGAGCACATCCATGTGACAACGAGAAAACCGTGGGCTGAAATAGTGGTTTCCTTTTAAAGGAGGGGCACGTAAGAAGTATGAAAAAGCACAAGATCTCTTGATTTACTTACAGCCACTTTCTCTTTGAGGAAGGCAGTGATGAAGGCTGGTTCAGAGCCCTGATGAATGCCAGCGTGGTTACTTCAGCTCATAATAACGCCCTGAGTGCTGAGGTTTGGCCACTGTGTTTGCTCTTATGTGCACTGAAATCCTCCTTTGACTAAGTGTGTGCTCTATAAGAAGTCTACTCGATTGACATCCCCATTGTTCAGTGAACACGACTGTGTCTATTGTAAAGTATTACTAACATTTTCAAAGGAGCTGAACCCTACCACAGAGAACTCTTAGGTAATTACATTAAGTGCTAATTTCTGTGTCCAGGTTTATGAAGTGCTTATTTCCATGTCACTAAACAGACTATACTTTAATATCTTTATTATTTAGTCCAAGTGCATACCCATTTGAAAGCAGCCGCTCAGCTGAAACTATAGAAATAATGACTCATCGGAGCTGTGCAAAGCAGAGAATTAACCAGTCTCTTCAGTGCCTCTGCAATTAGTTTTTGTGTAGTTAGATGCAAAAGGGTTTACAGATTAGAACTGGGGGTACTGGCCACATTCAACTGAGACTGGCCCGTAGATTGGGGGTGAGGGGGAAGACGTATGGACAGCAAATGCAGGCTGTACTGTAACATGTTTAGGTGTGTAACTTTACATTGAAAAGTTAATTCTGTGCGCCTGAAAGAGAAGGAATTTCTAGCCGTGTCTCACAAACAGTGCAATTTCTTCTCCATATTTCTCCATATTTTCATTACTGGTCCCACCCCTTGACCCGTCGTCCCTGTTTTCTCTCTGCCGAGCTGGAGCTGAACATCCCAACCCTGCTCCCCCCCAGAGGTGTGCCCACCACTGCTCGGCTCACACAGTCCATGGCAATGTATGCTGATAGGAACCAGACTGTGCCCTGCAGTGAAAGGTGCTCAACACAATTACTCTTATTTCTGTTGGGCTGATTTTCGTGTGTGCTAAGTGCTTTCAGCTCCCCGCAGACTCAGAAGCTCCTCACGTCCCCTGCTTCTGAAAATGATACCAGTTATCACTAAAACTTACTGGGTGGCTTAAAGGACACAGGAAAAAAAACATCCGTTTGTTTCATTGAAGAGAGAGGTGGGATATTCCATCTCCAGACAGTCTCCCGTGCAAATCCATCCGTCACAAGTGACATTTCTGGGGAGCTGGGAAGGACCCCCCCGTCCCCCGGGCAGAGCCTTTCCCCATCAAAGGGCCTGTTTCTGATGGAGGGGGGGTATTGCTGTAATTTGCTTGTCTGATTGCTCCCTCAATAGAATTGAACAAATGCACGTGTCATTAAGCTACTTAGGGCAGCAGATTCCGCATGGCAGAGTGTTATTGGATTAGCCTTTGCTTCTGTATTTCCCGGGCAGTTGCTCCGTAGCAAAGCGTGTTTGCCAGGCTCAAACCTCCCCAGGAGAGCGGGCAGGAGCCTCCTCCACCACCTCCCCAGGAGAGCGGGCAGGAGCCTTCTCTGGCTGGGGAAAAGTCAGTATTGTTCATTTTCCCCTGGAAAGCAGCGTAGGGGAATTTTGCATCCTCCAAAAGGGCATTTTTCATTGTTAGTACATTCAGTCATCTTTAATATAAGATGGTACAACTTATGAAACAAGATTAATAAAAATACTTCGATACTTTGGTTTTATCTGTCTGTTCCAGAAATTGTTCTCGATTGTTTCAGTCCTAGCAAGCCTGGTGGTGAGACCTTGATGTACTACTTAAACCGGTATAAAATCCATGGCCATAAAACTTTAAGTAATGCTTACATTACTTTCACTGAGCAAAGTACTCCTGACAGTAGCTGTTTGTGTTGATTTGTTACTATTCATTTATTCTTTCCCTGTGCTTCACATTGCTCCCTAATTGTGATGCTGTACTGAGAAAGCAATATCAAAGTAATTTTCCACAACATTAGTTACAATTTTCTTCTGATCTTTCGAGTGAAACAATCCCATCCTGTTGGCTTCTGTGAGCATATAAACCTTGATTACATTTATCTGTTGGAAACTGACGCTTACAGGGTCCGTGTGCCCGGGACAGGGTGGGCAGAGCCTTCTCTGCTGACTGACAAACCCCCTGTCCGTGAGCCTGGGTTCAGACAAGGCCCAGCACTCTGAGCAGATATATAAGACAGCGAGCCATTTAGGGTGAGAAAAACAGGTTTCCCAAGCCAATCTATTCAATTCAGTAGATATTCCTGTGCTCAGTAAAGAGACAATAGCTTCACTTAGAGCCGTTTTCTCGGAGTTGCAGTTTCTGTGGAGAATGGGGGACGGGGCAGGGCTGGGGGTGAGCAGAGCCGTGAGCGACGGCCGTGCGCTGTACGCAAACACAATTCCAATTATTCTCCCCGTTTAAATATAGACAACTTGGCTTCTGCAGAAATCATGCCATCGTTCCTAGACAGAGTAGAGGATTTGTTTTGAGCCAAGCACATTGGCACACTGTGCGCAAGAGAAATTTAATACATATATCCCTGTCCTGATGCAAAGGACTCTTGAACGTGTAACTCCCTGTCTGTGATCGGGTATTAAACATCCAAAAGCTTTACAGTGATTTGGTGTGCCCTTCAGCTGGACCACAGTATCTACAGCTGTCTTTAAGACCATGTGCTCTGTGGACTTTAGTCAGAAGAGGAGGGATACTCTAAAATGGTATCTACTTTTCTAATAGGAGATTTTGCCAAATAAAGAAAAAAAAAACAGGGAAATATTAATATTTCTATGCACCTATATCCATGTAGCAAAGTTCTCTATATGGTGAGGAACTCGGGGGAAAGAATTACTGGGTTTTTGCCATATAGGTACTGAACTCACAAACTGGTAAGAGTTTTCAGCTGGAACTTTTAAGATTAATATATGTGGACACACACTCCTCTGAGAGCTGGTAAAAGGTAGAAAATCCACCTCAAAGGATGCCTGTTGTGAAAGCTCCAAAGGGTGAAAACAGGGAGCAGAATGGAAATGGCCTTGCACTCTGAGTGGATCAGGATTTGAAGGTCAAGTACGAATATAACGGGGCCCAAAACGCCCCTGACTGACGTTCTGTGGTGATGGCTCTCCTTAACTCATCTACAGCCCCTAACACAGCACTGTCATCTTCATTTCCTGCTTTACTGGGTGTGATGGGGAGCAGAGGGGGAAGGTGAGGGGCAGCCTGAGGGGCTGGGAGAGAACGCGCTCACAAACCCGACGGCGCAGGGCAGCCAGGGAGCAGGGACCTCACCGCGCACTGCAGCAGCCCTACAGCAAACACCAGCATCACAGCTCTGCCGAAACTTTCTTAATTACTTATTCAGAGCACATACGCCTCGTTACTCACAAATTACAGCCCTATGCACATCTCTGTGTTCGCCGTACATTTCCATAATGCCATCCTGGCGCACAATGTGCCGCTTGTTTGTCACACTGCAAACTTTCTACAAATACAATTGAAAACGAACTAGCATTGATATATAATTTGAGAAGTAATTTTCCTACAATTTGCAACTTACTTCTCTTTATAAGCTGGAAGCCATTTTAGTCTGCTTTTGGGCTGACAGCATCAGCAGAAATCCCCCACCAAAGAGCGTGGTGGTGGGCGCGATCGGGCTGGCCCATGCTCTGTCCCAGCAGAGGTGGGCATGTTAGACCTGTAAGGGTGGCTTCCACTAATGGAGAAGGGGATAAACCTTCCACAGTCACATCCTCCAAGTCTCCTCTAGCTGAACTTCCCCCAGCAAAGAGAACTTCCCAGTGTGCAGACCAGTTCCCAATGCTCTACAGTTATTGGGAGGAAAAGGAAAAGATTTATTTCCTTCTCTGCTAAGGGAAATGGGCTCTTAGGAGTATGATACTCCTTTTGCTGATGCTTGTGATGGTTGGGGCTTAGGCTGCCTGTGAAGCTGGTTATTTTTCACATTGGAAAGAAGTGCTGCAAATGCTTCATCAGCCTGAGCTACGGGGGGGTCGAACGCTGCCCAGACCCTGCACCACACGGTCAGTGCCAGAATAACTGCAGCCCAGTGCTGAAAGAAATCACATACAAGCTGTTTTATCACAAGTGATACAGAGAGATTGTCTCTTACAACGCTTTTTCCCTGCTTTCATGACTATGCCATAGCCTTGGCAGTCTTAGGAAACATGCAGCATTTATTTATGACATGGTTTTGAAAGAGCGCCACTTTTTTTAAATTTTTTTCTACAGTTTCTGTTAACGTGCCTTAGCCTAAAGCCCCTTAAAGCAAATACAGCTGTTAATCTACAGCATCGCAGGCCAGCATTAATAGGACCAGCATTTCTCTTTTCCTGTCAACCCTCAGCAAGTGCTTC